ATATATATATAATGTTTTTATTATACATCGATCATTATGTCCATGAACTTCTTATTACAGACATTAATCATTATATTTACATATGTTTTTATACATATTATAAGGCAATTGACACATAATTGCAATATATTTATAATATAATGCAATATATTTATTATATAATGTTTTTGCATTATTTATGTATTTGTTACAACTGCAATTAATATAATAATTTTAATAACTTAAATATGTATCGGGTTGTTCGCAAAGTTCGTGCCGATTTTGAAGGAAAATTGAAACGCAGAAGATTTAAATTTTTAATTTCATTTATTAAATTTAAATCTTTTGCGGCACGAACTTTCCGGACAATCCAATATTAAAAAGGACAAATAAAAAAAAGACAAAGTTACCAGAATATTCATACTTTTTATGTACCAATGTATATGAGTAAAAATAAAATATACCCATTATCCATCTACAAGTTTAGATAAATAATAGAGCATAAAATGTAGTAGATTGATTACTTTAATATTCCTAAGTGCTTTAGAAGTGCAGAAAGCACTTTGCGTTTAGTATTACCATTCCATATTTCAATCATTCAATATTTCAATTTTTATACTTGCAACTCATCAACAAAAGTACAGTTTGAAATAAAAATTGTGTGCAATGGTAAAAAATATTCGTACAATTATAACACCATTTTTAATGGTCAGTTACGTGTTTGGTTTAAGAATTGCCATATCTAATCATTTAAAACTATGGTTTAGTGTCATATATATGTTACTGATTTGGTCAGTGTACTATTTCCTCTCATCATCTGCATTAATGATTTCTTTTCACGCGTTTTTTTCCTTCGAAGACCATATTTGCCATTATCTAGAAGTCTTTACGACGTTATTATCAATTGTGTTTGGAATATATCATGATAAGGTAAAGAAATGTTATAATACCAGTAATATTATTAATAAAAAGCAATTGTTATAAAATTCGTAATTATTAAGAATAAACATTTTTTATATCTATTTACACAATTAAATAGATAAAAAAAAATATATATATAATAAATATAATTTTATATGTATCCCAAACACCTTGATCTCAATTGTCAAGGTAACTATGTTGTCAAAGTAATAACTCTGAGGTTCAGATACTTTGGCTATTGCGACATCGCGTCTGTCGTTGTCCATTACAAAGTTATCAACAAAATAATTTTTAACAAGTTGAATATTAGATACAGATTATATAGCTATTAAGGGGATCCTAAAGCCGTCTGTATTATTGATTAAATCATATAATTTTTATAACATATTTTTTTTTTCTCTTTCACAGATTCAAAAATCCTTTTTCAGTCCAGGATTGAAATATACGCATTAATACATGCTTGTGAGGCGGAGTTTACGCCAAGAATTAAAAATTCGAAATTGATATATTTTTTTACTATTTCTTAGCGTAACATGGCATCTCAAGCTGCCAAGTTGTGACAACATTTGCTTGTTACAAAAGTTTTGCAACCTATATTATACTTACGAAATAGTAATCCACAAATACATAATCTGCACGAACAAATAACATCGAATTTTTAGAATTAGACGCTTTATTGCGACGAATTTATTATACGAAAATTAACACGAACGTGCGACGGTGTATCATAGATTGCGTGAGTTATTAGTGATAGTATAAAAACATGTTGATACTAGAAAAACAGCGATTTTTGTGATTTCGGTCGGAGTTTAAGCTTCGCTTTAGAATCCCCTTAATATAAAATATTATTGAGACATAGGGGGGAGGAAGAGGAACTTTATAATCATATTGATAGCATTTTGGTCTATAAATTAAAAGGAGAATGGGGTGAATATCGCTTCATTCGGAAAATCCTTATGAAACCTTGCTCCGCATAGAAAGTAAATTTACTTTGCGTTCAGAATCTCGCTCCACATTAAGTATATGTGTGAATGCAGTGGATTCCGCCTTTCACATCCTACAGAAGAATTTTCACTATCAAAAAATTAGATACATTATAATAAGTTTGAATGCAACTTTGCTTTGCGTGAAAAATTGTCAATATATATGTAGAACTTCGCTGTAAATATAATATAATTTTTCATAAAATTTCATTCAATTCAAATCTATAATAAAGATGTGATAAAAAAAAAATCCGAATTCTGTCGTCGAAAAGGTAAAACTGCAACGGTTTAAGTTAAAAATTTGTAGTTAAAAATTTTATAGATAGATAGCGCAACCTTTTCCAGTTTGCTGTAGAAATTTCGTTATGATCGGTCCAGTAATTCCGAAGTTATTGTATTGATATCGAGTGTGTTTGAACCGTTCGCAATTCGTCACGCGTTTTTAAAATGAGTTGCAAGAACAGCGTATTTGCGTGAAATTTTGCTATAAATTGGAAAAAACGCGCAGACATTCAAACTGCTTAAGGAAATTTACGAGACTATGAGTTCTACTCAAGTTTACGAATGGTACAATCGATTTAAGAAGGATTTAATATTGGTGGAAGAGGAGTCTAGGCCTGGAAGATCATCCACATCAGTTAATGACGAAACAGAAGGAATAAATCTCAGAATGTTACAATGTCTGCGGGAAGACGAAAATGAGCGGCGTTTTGGCAGCGCAAAACTGGCTACTGCATCATGACAGTGACACATACTGCGTTTCGTTTTTGAGAGTTCCTCGCTTGTAACAACCTACTAATCATCCCGCAACCCCCCTATTCTCCAGACCTGTCTCCAGCTGACTTCTTTCTATTCTCTCGGATGAAGTTACAACTGAAAGCATTTTGCGACAAAAGAGACAATAATATCAGAAGGAAGTATTACGATCAGTTCCGTCTGCTGCGTTTTCCGCGTGCTTTGTGGAAGAAACGGTTCCAACAATACATTGATGCCCAGAGGAGTTACTTCGAAGGCGACGCGCATTAAATTTGTAATTTTTTAATTAATACATAATATAAGTTATTGAGAAATTCCGGTCTTTTTTTTATCACATCTTATACAGGATGTCTGGAAATAATCGCCAAATATTTCATAGGCAGGTAGAGCGGACTAAACTTTATAGTTTCCCCAATAATTAACGAGATATTAATATTCCTTAAAAATAACCGAATACTATTGCGAAGTGTATACGCCTACCGATCGCTTGGCGCGCGGGCCGTAGGGAACGGGGATAGCCTGGCAAGCGCGCCGTCCGAGCTATGGAGGCTTGCGGCTGTGTGCGCGGCGCGGGATGCTTGCCAGCCCCCCAACTTCCAAGGCCCGCGCGCCAAGTGATCTGTGGACATACACTTCGCAGTAGTAAGCCGCGCATATTCGGCTATCTTTAAGGTTTATATCTTAAGGATTAATATCTCATTAAATATTGGGAAAATTTATAAAATAGTAGAGGACTTTTCGACTCAGTTTAGTCCGCTCTACCTGCCCATGAAATATTTAGCGATTATTTCCAGACACTCTGTATAACTAGATTTTTGATAGTAAATCCCCCAATCTTAGAAAGAGACTAACTCCATTGTTTCTATGTATACACTTTTCAATGTGAAGAGGTTTCAATTAGATTCATATATAACTTTCTACGCGGAGTAGTTCCACTTAGTTTTTGATTTTCTGCATGAAACGGGGTCCTTCCTTCTTTTTTAGGCAAGAATGTAATTTGTATAATTCTGTCCCTCCGGTCCATGAATTCATTCAAAATATGTGAATATACTAATATATAATGTGAAATATATATATATACACACTAAATAAAGTTTGAACTATAATAAATACATATTAGATACATATATATCGTACACTATTTATTAATAACTTTTTGACGAACAATGACCGACTAAAAATAATAGACCTTTCAAAGATTACTTAGAGTCATGATCTTAACAACATATATCAAGAACAAAGTGATTGATTCACCCAATCGAAGTACTTGTAATATATATTTGTCTATTTCACATACTATTTCTTTTCATTCATTCATTCAACAGAAATTCCAAAATTGTTTGAAGAAATTTGATAATATCAACTACACCTTGCTAAAGCTGGGAACAACGACAGATTATAACAATCTACGCAAAAAAGCAATATGGTGTGTCTTAGGATGGATTGTTATAGTTATATTAATAACATACTTCGAAGCTTTACTACTTAAAGATAAACATGATGATGATATCACGACAATTATGTTTTTTTTTTTTGCACGAGACTACTGTTTTCATATTAATCTTATAGGTGATTTGATTAATGCAAGTATCCTCAAGTTAGTATATCTTTTTACGTATATTTACAATTATATCTTTATCTGTTGTTGCGTAATTATTTATATATATAAATAAATTAAACTAAATTGTAATGCATGAATATTTCATAACTTCTGAAATAAAAATTATAAATGTACTAATAAAATATAGCTGCTTGTAATTAATTTCGTTTTCCATCTACTTTTTTTTAGATACACAGGATTAAAGTTTGATCAAATTAATAAATATCTTCAGAATTTAATGAAAAATAAAAATCATAAAATAACAAGGGCTTGGGTAAATAGCAAGGTATATCCTGACCAACATAGATTTTCGAAATTACTAAATAACAAATGCATAACATGGATCATTATGTAAGAAATTTTATAAATTTATTAATAGAGATAACATCATGGAAAAGTTTAATATTTATAAATAACAGTACACATAAAACATAAAACTTTATATTTATATAAAGTTTTAAACTTTATATATATATATTTGCATGTCCAGACATCTTTACTTAGAGTTATGCAAAATATCCCGTGAAATAAACTTAATATTTGGGACTCAAATAACTATCAAAATGGCATGCTATTTTGGTTGGATAGTACTTGACTTGCGTGAACTTTTCAATACAATATTTATCAACAATTATGTAAAATCAAGAACAATGGCTATCGCTGTGCGTTCATTCTGCTTATCTCATCACATTTTCAAATTCCTGCTTATTAATTATATATGCGAAATAGTTAGTACAAAGGTAGGTTAAACTAAATTAAATTTTAGAAAACAATAATTTAAATTTTATTTATAATAAGTGAATGAATTTAAAGATTATCGAAAAAAACACAAATTAAATTAACGACTCAGATGATTAAAATTAAAATAATAAAACAGGAGCTACAATCTAAAAGAAAATTTATTATAATATAAATAACGTTTTAACTATTACGAAGTCATTATTAATCTAAACAAAATTGACAATAATTCAAATCGAAGTATAAATAAAGTCGGATAATGTTACAATATTATACAACAAAAAATTCTAAAAATGAATCAAATCAAGACTATTTTTCATGTGAAAACTTCTTCGCAGATGTAAAAAATCCTTTAGAAATTATTATTGATATCTAAATTTAAAATTAAATTAAAACATTTTTTTCAAGATACATTCTTTAATTACATTAAACATATTGCAATTACAGGCAAATGCAACAGCAGATTTATTAAATAAATTATCATATGTCACTTATGATGTTGAAATTCGTGAAATTGTAAGTTTAAAAATGAGTTCACACACACATTAAAATATTATTATTAAAATACATATTAAACGTACAAGTAAATATAAAATCAACAAAATATATAATACATTAAAAGAAATATGGTTTTTATACAGATTTCACAATTTTCATTGGGAATAGTGTATGCACCCCTTAGATTTTGTGGAATCGGATTTTTTCAATTTGGTTTCAAATATCTTCATAAGGTACGTTAATTTATTACATAATTCCGTACTGTAAATAGTCAAATTCCTGGCAAATATATAAAAAAAAGAATTTAAATTGTCTTTATTTTTAGTTTATCACGTTTATTGCAACTGTTTTAGTTATAATAATACAAGCACAAATAAATAAATAATAATTTTTATCATCGTATTATGGCAAAGCTTATAAAAATAGTTTAGTGATAATATATGTATTTACATATATTATATAACATAATGTTATTTATAAAAATGCGCTGTATGTACAATACCTTCTAGATTTGATTTAATATCCCTATATAAGTTTAAAAAAAAAATTAACACCTGAAAAAAATTATTAAAAACAATGAAAAAAATAATTAATAACATTTTATGCAATAAATAAAAAAATGTTTTTTAATATTATTTGTTTTTTCATTATTCTTTTTATTATAAAACCGAGAATAATTATATGACTTTTCTATGAAAACGATCACCTGTATTTTTATAAAACTTCAATTCAAGAACTATTATTATCACTATTATTATTAAAATATTGTATATTACTGATCGATTCATTAATACTTGAAAACATTATGGATATGGATTTAATCATTTTTTCTAAAGAAAATAAAAAAGCAAATATAAAAAAGAATATAATTATATAGATACATTTAATAGTTCATTATGACACCATATCTGACAAAGAAAATTTTAATTAATATAATGTATATATATTTATTATACATATAGTTAAACTCCAGATAAATATTTAAAAGAAAAATTTACATATTATTTTTATTTTTATTTATAATGTTTATTTATTAGTAGAGTTTAGTAGATTTTTTAGTAGAGTTAACGTTTTCAAGACCGAAAAATCATTTTGGCGCACGTTTCTAGGGATTACATACGTAGTATATAAATTCACACAAGAATCATACATTTAAGATCCAACTAGATTGTTTAAGGCTTTGATTCTATAATTTGTGTCATATATGTTCTAAAATATATTATATTGTTATATATTCTAAAATATATTATATTGTTACATTTTATTTTCAGTTATGATTTTCATGAAAAGAAAGGCCTTATAAAAAAAGAAAAAAAAGAAAGGGCAAAGAAAAGGAATAATCTGAAAAAAATGTAAAAAAAGAGAAGAAAAAAAGGAAGGAAAAGATATGTGAAAGAAAACATGACGAATTATGTGGAACAAAATATTAATATCTCTCGATTATATTTTTTATTATTAATATTTTTCATGAAAAGA